GAGGTAGAGGACATCGAGGAGGAGGAGGAGGAGGAGGAGCAGCAGCAGCAGCAGCAACAGCAGCAGGACGCCGTCACTTTGGGCGGGCGGGGCGCTGCGGGCGCGGCGCCCCCCCCCCCCCCCCCTCCGCGGGGACTGGCCTGCGCTCTGTTGCGGGCGTGGTGCGGAGCCGCTGCTCCGCAGTTTGCCGCGGTGCGCCCGGATGCCGCCGGGCGTGCTGCTGGGCGGGGGTGCCCCCGACGCTCCTCCGCCGGCGCCGGGGCCTCCGAGGTGGCCGCCGCGCGCTGTGTGAACACAGCGAAGCGGGCGGTGCTGGGCCAGTTTCGGCGTGCGGGGCCCTCGCCACGCCCTGGGGCCGTCAATCAGAGCCCCGAATCATCAGGGGTAACTCGGGTCAGGGCTAACTCGGGTTCGTTTTTCGGGAATCCAAACCCGAGTTACCCCGGACCCGAGTTACCCCGGATAACTCGGGCGCCCAAGTCAAGCGTGGCCCTGGTCGCGGGGTCCACGTTTTGCGAAAAGTCATGACGTCGGAGTTCCCCTCAGCTCCTCTGCGTGGGGCCCTGGGGCAGGGCTCCACCCGGGCCCCCGTGCAGGCGCATCTGGTGGCGCCAGCGGCTGCCTGGACATGGGGAGAGCTCGCCTGTCTCGCGCGCCCGCGTGGGTCTGCTTCCGAGCCCCGTGCGCAGGCGACGAGGAATGGCCAGATGGGCATCTGTGTGTGCCCTCTCCTCCCCGCCGCTTCCCTCTCGGCGCTGTTCCCTTGCCGCCTCGGCCGCTGTTCTCCTGGTATCCCTCCTTCCTCTTCGCCCCGCCTCTCGCTGGCATGCGCGCCCGCCCTCTGGTCGTTGACCCACTGCCACCGCCGTGCTGCGGAGCACGCAGCTGCCGCGACAGAAAGCGCCATACCCTCTGGCTCTCTGGCTTTCCGCAGCGCCTCCCCGCCGCCGCCACTAGACATCTCGCGTCCGGAGACAATCAGGCGGGAGGTTTTTCGCCGTTTTCGGCATGTGAAGGCCCTCACTGGGCCTGGGGACCTTCAAAAAGCGACTCAGGATGAGAAGCCAGGGGCAGGGGTCGGGTCTCCCTGGGACCGCAATCTTGAAAGAATCAGGACGTCGCATGTTTGGGCCGCCCCTGTCGCCCTCCATGGTGGGGTAGTGGTGCCCGGCAGCGTTCGCGCGGCTTCGGGCGTCTGCGCGGCCCCCCGTCCATGCGCTGGCAAGCGCCGTGTCCAGCTCGAGCGGCCGCGCCCGAGGAAGGAAACACCAGGGCCCTTTGGTGCCGGCGTATAGCGTCGTCGGCGCGTTCACGCTCACGTTCGCGGCCTCCCGTCCACGGGCCAGCTGGCGCCGCGTCCAGCTCGAGCGGCCGCGCCCGAGGGAGCAACGCCGGGGCTCCCCTTGTGCTGGCGCAGGGTCACGGGAGCGTTCACGCACACGGTTCCACTTCTGTCTCCGCCGGCGGTGGCAGTGATGGCGAAGGGGCCAGGCGGCGACGGGGCCAGACGGCGACGGCGAGGTCGCGAGTCGACAAAGGCTACGGGACTGGTCTGTGACTTGGCGACGGCGATGGGCGACCCCCAGATCAGGGGCGAAGGCAACGGGTTAGTCGTCGAGGGTATCTGGGCCGATCGGCGACTAGCGATTTCGCCGACTGGCCCCCAGGGTACTGGGCAGCAGCATGTAGAAGCAAAGCGACGATGCTCTGTTTTGAGGATCCTCGCCGTCGTCAGTACCATCATCACCTCCATTCAAGCCCGCCCTGGTCCTGTCATAATCGTGATCGTCACCATCAGGATCACCGTCATCCCCTTAATCAGTGTGGCCGTTGGTTCGGCATCCCCACGAAGCGGCGTGAGCACCACCATCACCATCGACAGCGACGAATATGACCGCGAATCCGAAGACATTGATGACGACGAGCGCCGCCGCGACCCACACCGTGGCATCCCAGGCGCTGCCGCGATGACGGGGCGATTGCCGTCATCCCCGTATCATCGCTGCCGTCGGCTCGGCATCCCTACGAAGCTGCGTGAGCACCATCACCACCGTCCTCGCCTTCGGTGGCAAATCATGGGAGCCTTGTATACCGTCTCAATTCCGTTGTCAGCATCGATCAGCGTCGAGCAGCGTCTGGTGATCAATGATACAGTGTCGATTTAGCGTCGATTAGCGTCGGCTAGTGTCGATGACCGTCGATTTAGCGTTGATCTCTGTCGATTGGCGTCGACTATCGTCGACTAGCCTCGGCCAACAAGAACTAGTATGGGAGGCTCCCATGAGTTGCCACTGCGGGTGTCGGCCACCTCGCCGTCGACGAAGGGCGCCAGTCATCCTCGGGGCGAGCGGGGGGTGGAGCTAGGATGAGGTGGTGGAGGAGATGGAGGAGGAATGGAAAGATGAGGAGGGGGAGGCTGAGGATGAGGAGTGTGCGTGTGCGTGTGAGCATTTCTTAGCACCAGTCACCGGAGTCGCAGCGACCCATAACGTTGCGCCCTAGGCGCCGCCGTTGTCGCGGGTGGGGGGGGCCCTCCCGCGATGGCGGGGCTGCTCGGGGCATACGAGGACTCGGACGAGGACGACGACGCCCCGAGCATCCTGGCGCGGCAGGCCCATCTAGCCTTCTCCTGCTCGAAGGAGGAGGAGGAGGAGGAGGAGGAGGAGGAGGAGAAGGAGGAGGAGGAGGAGGAGGAGGAAGGAGGACGAGGACACATACAAGAAGTACGAGCAGCAGGGGAGAAGGGACGAGAGGAGGAGGAGGAGGAGGAGGAGGAGGAGGAGGAGGGAGGAGGAGGGAGAGGAGGAGGAGGAGGAGCAGGAGGAGGAGCAGGAGGAGCAGGCAGGAGGAGCAGTATGAGCGGGAGAAGCAGGAGGAGCAGGAGGAGGTGAAGGAGGAGGGGATGAGGTGGAGGAGGGGGTGGAGGAGGGGTAGGAGGAGGATGAGTAGGACGATGCCGACGACCTCCGCCGGTGCACCGAGGCCCCGGTGGTCCCCAGAGGTCTGCCGAGGCCTCCAGATGCCGCCTCCGAAAGCAGAACCCCGATCCTCTTCATTTTCCTTCTTCAGCTCCCCCTACTCTGGTCCTCGCCGCCCGCCATCATGGCGATCCCAGCGGCGCCGCGGTCCGAGGCCTCCTTGCAGCCCTGGCCAGCCTCCTGTTGAGGCTGGCCCGAGGGGTCTGGCTTGGATACGTGGGTGACGCCGCGACGCACATGCCTCTTCCGCCACCGCATGCCCGAGCCCGCGCTCTCACCAGTCTCCATTTGGAGCAGTCCTCGTCCTCCTTCTCCTCCTCCTTGGGCGCACGCGTCCTCTGGATGTCAGCCTCTCCCCTCCACGGTCCCACCCAGTTGTCCCCTTTCGCACATGAGTTGTACTTCGGAGCCCCTTGCCGCATATGATCTGGCTATCTTCCGATGCTGGTGCCGCAGGGCCGTCATCACAGCCGCCCTCGGCGTGGCGGCCCGGGTGGCCGCCCCAGGAGCAGGCGGCAAAATCGTGCTGTGATCATCGGGGGCGGCACAGAGGGGGGTGATGACTGGGGGGGGGGTGGATATCATGGCGGGGGCCACGGTATTTCCCCAGGTTGCATGGCGCCTCTTCTTATTCCATTACGTCCCTGGCCCCCCCGCTGGGCCGCGCACATGCCGCCGGTCATGATTTGCAGCCCCCCTCTTGGACGCCCCCCTCTTGGCCGACCCCGAAACGCTCTAAGAGCCTTTTCGTGGTCCGCGCGAAACGTTTTGAGAACACTGCTGGCCGCGGCCGTCCTGTTCCCAGTCATCCTGTGGTGTTGGGTCCTCTTTTTGAGGAGACAGCGCCACGCGTTTTCCTCCCGTCTCCTTCCTGCCCCTCCTCCCTCCTCCCCTCTTGGACACCCCTCTCTTGGCCGTTCCCGAGCTCCTCGATCCGTAGCATCAGGGGGCGCCGGCGGCAGACGAGGTGGTCCTGCGGCATCCTGGAGCGCGCGCGTGCGGCAGATTTCAGGAGGGAAAAAACACACAGACACAATTCATCGTCGATTTCCCAGGAAAATATGGGAAGTGGGGGGAAGACAACAACCCAGAACATATAGGACAATATGGGGAATCTTGTTATTTGTGTGTATTTATTTGTGTGTCCCAGGACCCCATTTACATTGCTGGTCTTTTCGGCCAATGTGGTGGCTGACGGTAATCTTCGGCTCGTGCCCTGCTCTTGGCCGTCCGTCCCCTCTCCTGGTGAGCGCTCTCCTGCTCAGCATCGAACCTGGAGCCCACTCGACCACGACGACGGCCGACGGCGATCGATGCCGACGATGGTCGACTACGGTCGACGACGATGACGTCAACAACGGCGGTCGACGGTGACGACGACGCCGACGGTGGACGATGACGATGGCGACGACCGTCGACTGTCGACGTTGACGACGGTCGACGACGATGACGATGAATTCGACGACGACGAATTCGAAGACGGCGACGATGACAATTCCGACGACGGCCTCTACGACGACAAAATTGCGCTTGGCATCCTGCCGCGCCAGGCCTCCGCGTCCCAGGCCGAGGCCGCCGCCGGCAAGGCTCGCGCGCGCGCGGGAGCCGCTGTGGGAGCGGGCGGATGAGAAGCATGAGGAGGACAGGAAAGGAGGAGGAGGAGGAGGAGGAGGAGGAGGAGGAGGAGAAGGAGGAGGAGGAGTCCAGGAAGGAGGGGAAGGAGGGTCTTGAGCCTCAGGTGGAGTGGAGTGGAGTGGAGTGGCGTGGAAATCGTTGCGGATGCAAGTGCGTTCAACCCTCGATTGACCTCATAGGTCAATCGAAGGGTGAACGCACGTGCATCCGAACAAGTCTGGCCGAGAACGTTCAAACGTCGAGCCGAGACGATTTCCCTGCTCGACTCAGGACTGTTAATACTGTCAAGTGTTTCCTCACCGTGCTTGGGCAACTTCTCACTACATCGTCTCTTTAGGGATCGCAATGCCTCATGGGCGACCCTCCCACAAGCGCTGCAGAACCAAACCCACACCTCTTGACGCCCTGGCGGCGGAGGAGGAGGATGAGGAGGAGGAGGAGGTGGAAACAGTGATACAAGTCATAGAGGCGTCAGCTAGTCTCCCGCCAGCGGCCTGAAACGATATGAGTGCTACGGCGCGCAGCCCTTGAGGCTTGCCTCAGAAGCCCCACATTAAAGACCTCTCCAGATTGCGGGTGCTTTCCCGCGGGGATGTTGGCGAGAGCCTCTTGAGGCCGTCTCCACCCCACACCTCCTGACGCTCCCCCGTACTGCTTGGCGGCTGGCAGCTGGAAGTTCCACATGCCAGGAATTCTAAGTCAGATCAAAGAACATGTGTTGGACAAGGATGGCTGAGGATGGAGGAAAGCTGACACGAGGATGCAGAGTGGTAGGAGGAGTCAGTGAAGGATGTGGAATGGAATGGGATGGAGAGGAAGGCACGATGCATGAATGGACCCGGCGCGACTCCAATTAGGGAACAGTTTCTTTGCATGGGCGCTGTGCTTGGCATTGCTTGGCATTGCTTGGGGTTGCTTGGCATTGCTTAGCATTACTTAGCATTGCTTGGCATTACTTGGCATTGCTTGGCATTGCTTGGCATTGCTCGGTATTGCTTGGCATTGCTTGGCATTGCTTGGCATTGCTTAGCATTGCTCGGTTTTGCTCGGCATTGCTTGGCATTGCTCGGCATTGCTTGGCATTGCTTGGCATTGCTTGGCGTTGCTTGCCATTGTGTGGCATTCTTGGCATTGCTTGGTATTGCTTGACATTGCTGGGTTTTTGTTTTGCATTGGCTGACTTTGCTTGAAATTGCTTGGCATTGCTTGGCGTTGCTTGGCATTGCTTGCCATTGCTAGGAACGGGCACGGTAAGAATACGAGGCACCAGGGGCGGGGAACCCAGGGAATCCAGGGAAGCTGAGGAGAGGGGAACGTAACAATACGAGGCACCGGGGGCGGGGAACCCAGGGAAACCGGGGAACCCCGAGCAACGGGCAACGTAACAATACGAGGCACCAACCTTTCAGCAACTAAGAGCCCTTTAGGCAAGCCTAATTGGGGAAAGGTCGAGTGAGACTGTGAGACAGTGAAGCTGCTACGAAGATGATCGTTTGATTCTGTACTGCATATTTACACACATGTACAGATCCAAGAGCATATGCATATTTAGATATTGCGAGGGCCTTACGGCCGGTGCCGCCCACCCTGAGGTTGGGGAGGAGGGCGCCGAGCATGGGGAGGAAGATGAAGAGGGGGACAGGAGGAAGAGGCGGATGAGGAGGAGTAGAAGCAGAGGGGGGGAATGAATAGGAGGAGAGCGAGGTGAGCAGGGTCGCGGGGGGGGCACGAAGGGCAGGGGCGAGTGGGGCGCGGGGAGGAGGAAGGAGATAATGGCGAGGATGTTGACGACGTTGGCGACGACGCCGGTTACCTACCATTCGGGGCGTCTTGGAGCCCTTCTGGGGCGACTTCCAGGCTTCCTTCGTTGTTTTGAGGCTATAGTTAGATTCGGAGAGCGCGGGGGCCGGGACCTGGGCCAGGGCAGGGGCCGGATCGACGGGCCCCAGGAGTGGAAGCTAAAGGGTTGCCAAATACAGGCGTGGAATTGCGAGGATTGCGCCAAGAGGTTGAACAAGAAGGTGGTGCTCTTTGGCTTCAGGGTGCAATGCCCCTTCTGCCGCAGGCTGCCGCCGCCCCCCATCAGGGAGAAGCAGGCGGCGGCCATCCGCAAGACCAACAGGGAGGAGCTCGAGCGCCAGAGGGCCCCCAAGAAGCAGCCGGCGTCGGCCACTGCTGCGAGATCTTCGACCTGCCCAAAGGTGACGGTGCAGGGGGCTCGAAAGAAGAACGCGTTCCTCAAGAAGATCAGACAGAAACGCAAGCTCAGCCAGGGGAAGCAGGCCATGGGGGCGCAGCCCAGCGCGCCGCAAACGGAGGGGGCGCTGGCGAAGGAGACGGAGAAGGACAGGCAGCTGGAGCACATCGACGCGATGGCCAGCAAGCAGCAGACGACCAAGGACAACCTGACGGAGTTGATCGAGTCGCTGCAGCCCGCCCTGCACACGGGCACGGAGGAGGCGCACGACAGGGTGAAGGCCCTCATCCAGCAGGCCGAGAAGACCCTGACCAACGCGGAGGAGAGCCTGGTGCGACTCGAGCGCCTGAGGAACCCTAGGGCGGGGCCGGGGCCAGGACTGGGTCCGGGGCCGGGGCCGGAGGGGCGGGGGCCTGGGCCGGCCGGGATCAGGGCCAGAGCTGTTGGAGTGGGGGCCAAGAAAGAAACAATCGCATTACCCCCGGGACCACCCCCCGGGACCACCCCCGGGACCACCCCCTGGGACCATGCCCCTCCCGGGACCACTCCCCGGGACCCGGCAGGGCCCCCCCCCCCGGGACCCCGCCCCGGGACCATCCCGTGGGGCCCCCCCCTGGGCCCCCCCCTCCGCCCCAGGAAGGGATCCAAGGGAAGGGCTTCGCCTTCACCTCCATGTGAACGATTTTATGTGGCGTATTGGCTGGAGTGGGCTTCTTCGCCTTCACCTCCATGTCAACGATGTTACGTGGCGTAGCGGCTGGAGTGGATTGCTGCAGGCGGGGCGGCGGCGACCACGGGGGTGAAAGCGTCTCACGCGCGCCGACAGCGTCGGCGGATTTTCTACGTATATATGGATGACTATCTGTGTGTGCGTATATACTTATGGTGGCGCGAGATGGCTTATCTATTTCATCTTCGGGGAGGTAGGCAATGCATTTATGGATAGGCAGGCCCCAAGGAGGCCCTAAGAGGCACCAGAGAGGTCCCAAGTCACCCCCAAGAGGCCCCGAAGATGCCCCAAGAGGCCCCAAAACGGCCCACAGGAGTCCATGCTAGACCGTGTTAAAAATTGTTATGCTCTGCGACGCACTGGTAACAAGCCCTGCTAAGCCATGCTCGCCCGTGTAAGCCAGAATGAGCCCTGCTAGCCACATCGCTGCCGACCCCTTGTGTAAAGGACCAGGGGAAGGACCACCCCGAGGTGTGCGACGCGCGTGGCCTCGCATATCGAAATGGATGTGTTCTCGCCCGCTCTGACCAACGTCTCGAGGCGAATCTGGCTGTTTCCTTGGGTTCCCCAGGTTCCCCAGGTTCCCTGGGATCCCGTTGCGCATTGCTCGGGGTTTCCCGCTTCCCGGGGTTCCCCGGGTTCCTAGGGTTCTGGGGTCCCCGGGTTCCCCGCCCCTGGCGCATCGTTGTCTTACTGTGCCCGTTCTAAGCAGTGCCAAACAATGCCAAGCAATGCCGAGCAATGCCAAGCCATGCCAAGCAACGTCACGCAATGTCACACAGTGCCAACCAAAAGCCGAGCAATGTCAAACAATGCCAAGCAATGCCACACAATGCCAAACCATGCCAAGCAATGCCACACAATGCCAAACAAGGCCAAGCAATGCCAATCAATTCCACGCGATGCCAAGCACTGCGCCATGCAAAAAGAAACTTTCCCCTAACTGGGGTCGCGCCAGGTGTATTCATGCATCGTCGTCTCCCTCTCCATCCCATTCCATTCCACATCCTTCGCTGACTCCTCCCTCCTTCACTGACCCTCCCCCTCCGGCCCCTCCTCAGCCATCCTTGTCCTACACCATGCTCTTTGCTTAGATTCTATAGGCTTGCGCCACATCTGCCGACCCCTATATACACTGATGCGCCTCCAGGGCTGCATTTCACGAGGCTTGTCCGAATCATGACACGGTGTTCGACATCGTTCCTGTTGCTTCGTTGCTGTTATTGTACCTCTTGGTGCTCTTTTGTGGCCTTTTGGTGGCATCTTGGCCTGTCTGCAGGCCATAACCGGCCGCCTCGAGGCATCTTGGGTCAAGTTTGGGGGCCTTTTGGGGGGGCTTCCTGGGGGGTTGTTGGAGGCCTGTGAGGTTCTCTTGGGGGTAGACTAAAAACTCCTCGCGCTTGGACATTCCACCCGCCAGCCGCCAAAAGACCCCGAGGCTCCCCCCGCTAAGCTCGGGTCGGGCGAAAGGGGGGGATTGGGAAGGGGGGGTTACGAAATCTGCTGCATGCAGCTGGTTTCGGCCTCGCCGAGGGGCCCATTCCTCGGTACATGGGCGCCTCCCGGCGCCGGGAGGCGCCGGGAAAATCAGCTACGTGAGCTGATTCTCAAACCCCCCCTTTGCTATCCCCCCTTTCGCCCGACCCGAGGCTTAGGAGTCCTAGAGATTGACACCAACACCAAGATCGGCGGTGTTCCTCCACCGAGGGAAGACGATCCCGATCTCGGTGATGGTGGTAATACTCTGGCTTCCAAGGTGACCGAAATATTACCACCAACACCGAAATCTAAGATCATCATCTCCCTGTGGAGGCAAACCCCTGTGCTGGTGTTGGTGCCAATTTCCAGGCCTCCAAAGGCTCCCCCCGCAAAGCGAGGAGCGGCCGCCCCCCCGCCCGCCGAGGCGCCGCCCGCCGGGGCTCCGCCCGCCGGGGCGCCGCCCGCCGAGGCCCCGCCCGCGCCGCGGGCGGCGCCTGGTGCCGAGGCCGAGGCCGCCGAGGGCGCGGGCGAGGAGTCCGAAAGCGAGGCCCAGCGGCGAGGGGAAGGTCAGGGCCCCGAATCATCAGGGGTAATTCGGGTCAGGGCTAACTCGGGTTCGTTTTTCGGGATTCCGAACCCGAGTTACCCCGGACCCGAGTTACCCCGGATAATTCGGGCGTCCAGGGCCCCGAATCATCAGGGGTAGCTCGGGTCAGGGCTAATTCGGGTTCCTTTTTGCGGGGATCCAAACCTGAGTTACCCCGGACCCGGGTTACGGGGCCCGAAATGGGTACTGAAAGAATGGGTACGATGCCCAACAGCAGCTCTTGTTCGTTCTGAGCAGGACTCTCTGCCCACGCCGCCGCGGCCTGTGTCCACTCGAGACAGGAGGTCGCCCGCCCAACAGCGGCCGCTGTCGGTTTGGGACAGCATCTGCTGTTGGGCATTGTGCCCATTTTTTCGGTGCCCATTTCGGGCGTCCAAAATCACCACCCACCAAACCACCCCAACCCAACCCGAAGGCTCAGATTTACCCTCGATTTCCAGCGGGGGGGGGGTCGGGAAACATCGAAAAAACACGTGTGGAACCCTTACCCCCCCCCAACCCGAAATTCGGGCCTTCGGGTTGGGTTGGGGTGGTCTAGTAGGTAGTCCAAAAAGGGGGCGGGGTCGGTATCGTTGATCCGATCCCCATCCCCAGTTGAGGGTACACCCCTCGAAGCCCGAAGGGAACGGCCTATATCCAGAGCCCCGAATCATCAGGGGTAACTCGGGTCAGGGCTAACTCGGGTTCGTTTTTCGGGATTCCGAACCCGAGTTACCCCGGACCCGAGTTACCCCGGATAATTCGGGCGTCCAACAAAGGGGCGGGGTCGGTATCGTTGATCCGATCCCCATCCCCCGTGGAGGGTACGCCCCTCGACGCCCGAAGGGAGCGGCCCATATCCCCATCGGCCCGTGGGGGCCCGTGGGGCCAGTGGGGCCCAGGCCACGCCGCTGGGGCTCCTCCCTCCTCCTCCTCCTCCTCCTCCTCCTCCTCCTCCTCCTCCTCCTCCTCCCCCCCTCCTCCCCCTTCCTCCTCCCCCTCCTCCTCCTCCTCCTCCTCCTCCTCCTCCTCCTCCTCCCCCTCCTCCTCCTCCTCCTCCTCCTCCTCCTCCTCCTCCTCCTCCTCCTCCTCCTCCTATGCGGATCGGATAAACGATACTCAGGGGGAGGGGCTATAGTTACTCCGAGTTTCTGAACAAACGTCGGGGGGGGGGGGGGCGTCACCCCCGCAGAAAGCCCCACATCGACCCCCGTCGCGGGCAGCCACCGCGCGCCGAAGGAGCTCCGACCCCCGTCGCGGCGCGACGACGAGGCGAGGCGGACCCCCGTCGGGGTGGTACCCCCTCACGCGTATTAAGAAACCCACAGTAGGAGTCAAGCAATGGCGCGACGTCCTGGCTTGCCTCATAGGCCCACCAAGGAACTTTCTGAGAGCCCATTGGTGTGGTTTGCGCGGTATGCTCTCCGAGCATGCTGGTTTAGGTCGTCTTGTGTTGATCTGCTGCATGCTCTAAAAACATTATGGTTTTGGTTTTTAGACCAGGCGATGGTTCTGGAACGAATTTCGTGAGAGGCATGTGGGAATGCCGGGACGGTCGATCCCTGCTCAAGAGGAGGAGGAGGGAGAGGGCTTTCCTGTTTTGCCTCCTCTCCCTCCTCTGCTCCCCCCGCCCAGGGTGCAAGGGACTTGACTGCCCCTCCCCTGGGGGGGATCTGCCAATCGCTACCCATTTGTTTACACATCTTCTAGTCTGATCAACTCCTCCAGCAGCGACCGCTGCTGGGGGGAACCGCGTTCGACGACCTCGATGACCATCAGCTCCCAGTTCCAGGGTGACGAGGTCCAGACGTGATCGCGATGCAGCAGAATCAGGACCGCAGGTGCTTTGCTATCCTTGGCCGCGGGGCCCTCGCCCGTGGCGTCGAGCACCGAGCCCGCCGCCGCACATGAAGTGCGGCGGCCTCCGCCCTCCGCGGCGCGGCCAGCACACGCGGCCGCGAAGCGCAGCAGCTTTTCCCACCACTCCTGGGTGATCTTCGCGTCGGACCTGGCGTAGGGCCCCGCGTCGTCGGTCAGAGGAGGCAAAGGTACCCGTACTGCTATCGCCACCAATGCCGCCCGCCATGGGCGAGCGACAGTTGCGAGCGACGTGTGGGCTCAAGCCATGACAGAGGCGGCGGGCAGGGACTCGCCGCGCTCAGGCGCACAGTCGCCTCCCTCTGGAGCGCACCATCTCCCTCTACGTGACCACCGCGTATGATGGGCCTGTTTTCCACCACCACCACCATAAGTTGGAGGGGGAGGGGGTTCTCCTCCTCCTCCTCCTCCTCCTCCTCCTCCTCCTCCTCCTCCTCCTTCCCCCCTCCAACTTATGGTGGTGGTGGTGGTGGAAAACGGGCCCATCAGCGTACTTCTACGAGCACCTCTGGGCCCTCGTGGTCCGCTTCTTCTACCTCCGGTTCTACTGCACACTGTTCCACAACTTCGCCCGGGCTGCCTGGTGGCCTTCGCCTACGCTGTGGTTTGGGGTGCCGTCCGCGTTCGTGTTCTGATTTCGCCGCCCTTTCTGTTTCCCCCTGCCTTCCTCCTCCTCCTCCTCCGCCTCATCGGAGTCGAAACTGTGTAACTGAAGCGTCTGCGTTCGCGCTGTTCGGTCACGCGGGTGCCCTGACTGTCAAGCAGTCGGGCGATGACCACGATGCCTTGTTTGCCCTCCCTCCTCCTCTTCTTCCTTCTCCCCTCGTCTCGCCTTGCTCCCGACGCAGCGCCGATACATTTTCGTGTGAATTCATATCGTTATAACTACCCGAATGTCCGCCCCCTCCCCGACCGCTCGCCCGGGCAATCATTTTCTCAAGTGGCGCCTTTCCCCTTCCCCCTGAATATGGTGACGTTTACCCGGCCGGCCATTCCAGTTATTCTCGCAAGTGTTTTTTTGCTTCTGGGATGTTGTCGTAAATGGGGCCGCTGGTCAATCTCTGCCGCGTGTCGCTACGGAGTGCACAGGTGACTCGGGGGCTGTTGCGATCGCCCCCTCCTGGAGAGAAGAAAAGCTAGGGGGGCAAATCGGCCAGTGGGGCCCAGCCCACGCTGGTGGGGATGGGGATCGGATGAGCGATGCTCATGCCGCCCGCCCGCTCACGTCTGCTCACGTCGTGACTGGCCCTGCCGCCCGCCCGCGGCTCGTGAGGGGCCCAGCAGCGCCGCGGCATGCGTGTTCACGAGGCTCTCGCGAGCTCCCTCGGAGCATCCTCACGTCGGTGCCTGTGGTGCCCCAGTCGCCCGCCGAGGCGGCGGCGCAGGAACAGCGCCCTCCCCCAGGCCTGCGACCGCGCACCCAGCTCCCGGGAGAGGTCGCTCTCGAGGTCGATGTTGTGGGCGGCCACGTGGGCCGCACTGGGCACCATATGTGTGTCCGCCAGCTGTGCTGAGCTCGCTCGCGTCGCAATCTCCGCTCCCAATTGTTAGCAGATCTTCTTGCCCGGCCCTTGCCTCGGCTTTCCTCCGCAGGTTCACGCTCGGGCCAGAGGCCCCGCAGGTCTCCCGTAGCCATAGCCCTCAAGAGGCCGCGAAAAAACGAAAACGATCGCCAGCTGCTGCACCGGTCGGGGACCATCACCATGCCAGCTTGAGCAATTTGGCTGTCGCAGGCTTTTGTGCGGCTTGTGCAAAAATTGGTACGGGGGAGGTGGAGGTGCGGGTGGAGGAAGAGGGGGAAGAGGAGGAAGAGGAGGAGGAGGAGGAGGAGGAGGAGGAGGAGAAGGATGAAAAGGAGGAGGAGGAGAAAGAGAAGGAAGAGGAGGAGGAGGAGAGGAGGAGGAGGAGGAGGAGGAGGAGGAGGAGGAGGGCAACGAGCAGGAGGAGGAGGATGTGGAGGGCGGGCAGGAGGAGGATGAGGAGGAGGAGGAAGAGGAGGAGGAGGAGGAGGAGGAAGGGATCTCCTAGGTCCTAGGAGCCGCGCGTACGAATCATATCCCCTCCTCAAGTTTGCGGCGAGTGGGAAGCTCAAGTGCGCGCTCACGCCGGCCGGTCCCATCCCCCCCCCAGGCGCCTGCTTGGCATGCGCCCGAGGGGGAACTTCCCTCCTCGCCTCTACGCTGCCCCCTTCAAGGGGGGGGTGCGTCACGCGTCCCGTCCCCGTCCGCGGGGGTCTCGCTCCGCGGCTGGCTGGTGTTGTGGACGTCGCTCCGCGACCGGGGCAGTGCATCGCTGCGCGACTGGGGGTTGCGCGTCGGCGGGGGCTTCGCTGCGTGGCCGTGGAGGCGTCTCGCTCTTCGACGGAGTTGGCGCCTCGCTGCGCGACAGGGCGCGTGCGCAGGAAGGAGTCTCGCGCGGTGAAGCACCGCGGCGGCATCGGCGGGGGTCCCTTTCCGCGACGGGTGGCTCCACGAGGCGCTCGCGGGCGAAGCTCGCCGCGAAATGCGCGCGGTGAGCTGCTCCTTCGGGGGATCCTTGCCATTCTCTCGGGGTGGGCCAGGGTCCCACAGGATGTGCTTAGCATCCCAGACGGAATCTGAGCACTGCCAGGTTTCCATGAGGTCTCCTCAGGAGTCTTTCGGGACTCCGTAGGGTTCCTGAGGAAACGCTTAGGAAGCCGCAGGACTTCGACTTCCCCAGGACTTTGAAGGGGACCCTGGGGATTCCTTCGGACATCCTTTTGATTCCCAGCGGGGTGCAGACGAATTGTGAAGTGTCCGTCGTGAGAAGCATCGGACTCCTGCGGGAGCCGTTGGCCGAGGAATCCGTCAGGGGTGCCGAGGAAACCCGTAGGATTGGTGATGAGATCGCTCGCAATTCTTTGGCATTCGAAGGATTGCAGCTTGCCGTTATGTGGTTGTATTCGAACTGCGAGGTATTCCTCATCTCCTCCTCCTTCCCTCCGTGATCCTTTGCATGAGCTGCTGTGCACCAGCGCAGCAAGGCCATCGATAGAACGGGAGGGAAAGTTCAGGGGGCATCAACGGGGTGGGGAGTCGCAATGTATACCGCCGACATGAGGCGATGGTTTCATTTTCGGCGTTGTTCCTGAGCGGCACCGCATTCACAGTCTCACGAGTCTCACGGTTCTTAAGGATTCTTGGGACATGCCCTTTGGCGCAGGAGTTCCAGGCGAGGGGGCCCGCCCGCAGAGCAGGGGGGGGGGGTAGCGCCAGGCAGTCGCGCCAGTCGCGCCAGGGAGGTGCTGGAGTCTTCATTGTTTTTTTTTATTGTTTTTTATCATGATCTGTTATCCCCTGCTGTGCACGCCTGCCTTCGGCACACGTTCAAGACCTTCTAGCTCTGGGCATGCTCATTTCCTCTCCCATGCGCCTGTTCTTCCTGCACTCCTTTTGTGTCCAGTCAGGGCCCGCAGTTTCCCTCGGCTGCCTGCGAACGCGGCGTGGATCCTCGTCGCCGAGGACTAACATTGTGTGCATGCTGTGGAGCCTCCCAATGGTCTGTGCTACGCACAAGACGAAAGATGCGCAGCCCGCCTCCTTCGATCGCTTGGAGGCGGCGAGCTCAGCTCTGCCTTGCCCGTCGTCCGTTCGGCGCTCCGCTGAGCGCTCCGACCAAAGGTCACTCGCGCCTGAGATTCGTCGGATGCGGCGCTCTCGGGCTGGAGAGGAGCTCGAGCAGTAGGACGAGCAGAAGGAGGAGGAAGAGGAGGAGGAGGAAGAGGAGGAGGAGGAGGAGGAGGAAGAGTAACATCATCATGAAAAGAACGGGGGAGCGATGCCTGCGGAAGATGAGGAACAACACAAGAAGGAGGAGGAGGAGGAGAAAGAGGAGGAGGAGGAGGAGGAGGAGGAGGAGGAGGAGGAAGATGATGATGATGAGCAGGAGGAGGGAGAGGAGGCGGAGGAGGAGGTGGAGGTGGAGGAGGACGAGGAGGAGGAGGAGGAGGAGGAGGAGGAGGAAGAGGCCAAGAAGCTCACTGGAAGGGCAAAGGAGGAGGATGAGGAGGAGCAGGAGAAGGAGGAGGAGCAGGAGCAGGAGGAGCAGGAGGAGAGGAGGACGGGCAAGAGACCGAGGAGGAGGAGGAGGAGGAGGAGGAGGAGAACGAGGAGGAGAAGGAGGCAGGAGGAGGAGGGCAAGGAGCAGGGAGAGGCGGAAGACGACGACGAAGACTCCTGCAGGCTGGCGGGTCGCCGGAGAGGGGCGCCGGCGAAGAGGAGGCCAGCATCTTGCTGGCCGTGCCGCCGTCGCCTCCCGGGGAGCCGCAGGCAGAGCTCGTGGAGCGGGTCAGGCCCCGTGGGAGCCTAGAGAAGGAGCTTCTTGACGACGACGGCGGCTGAGAGGTTGTCGATGTCGTCCTCCTCCTCCTCGTCGTCCTCCTCCCCGTCGGCCTCCTCCTCCTCCTCGTCCTCGTTCCTTCCCTCTCCCTCTCCTGCTGCTGCTCTCTTGCTCGCCCCCCCTCTCCTTCCGCTGTTTCTCCTCCCCGGCCTCCTGCTCCTCTTGCTACATGCTCTCCTCTGCTTGCCTCTCTCCGTGTCCCTCCTCTGCTCTCCTCTGCTTGCCTCCTCTGCTTGCCTCCTCGGCTCTCCTCTGCTTGCCTCTCCTCTGCTTGCCTCTCCGTGCTACATGCTCTCCTCTGCTTGCCTCTGCTCTCCTCTGCTTGCCTCTCCGTGTCCCTCCTTCCCTTCCCCAACTCCTCTTCGTGTGACGGCAGGGCGGGGAGGCTATCGAAGTGCCTTCGGCCCATCCCGCCAACCGTGCCTGGGTTGTGGGGATGAAGTTGTTTAGTGGATGTTCGTTGGGATCTCGTGGGAGGCTTCTCAGGGGCCTCTTGGATGGAGTTCGAACGACTCCTGGGGGCCTTCTTGGGGCCTCTTGGGGCCTCTTCTTTGGGGCTTCTTCTTTGAAGCCTCTTGGGGCCTCTTGGGGGCCTCTTGTGGGCCGCTTGGGGCCCCCTGCGCGCATCTTTGGGCCTCCTGGGAGCCTCTTGGGGCGAGGGGCTCGGATTTTCGGTTCGTGTCCCCTCTTTTGGGCTCCTCTTTGGGCCGTCTTGGGGCCCTCTTGGGCCAATATCGTCGCCTCTGGGTTTTCTTGGGACCATCTTGGGCCGTTTGGGGGGCCCTCTTGGAGGCATCTTGGGCCGTCTTTGGGCGGTCTTAGGGGCCTCGAGGGCCGTCTGGGAGCGTCGGGAAGCCGAAGAGGCGAGAGTGCCCAAATCCTTCAAACCCTTACGCAAGGGATAATCGCGGATTCGGGCCTCGTGGGCCCTGTTGGGAGGCCTCTTGGTGGCCTTTTTGGGCGTCTTGGAGGCCTGATGGGCCAGGGGCCATCTTTAGCGTCTTGGAGCGATCGTTCGGCGATTGAAGGTCGTCTTGGGCCGTCTTGTCGGGGGCGGAAAAGAGGGGGGTGATGACTAGGGGGTGGGGGATATCATGGCGGGGGCCATGACATTTCCCCAGATCCCTGGCCCCCCCGCTGGGCCGCGCACATGCCGCCGGTCATGATTTGCACCCCCCCCTCTTGGACACCCCCCTCTTGGCCGCTCCCGAAAATGGCCATGGACGGGCGAGGCTGGTGGTCGGGCCACACCTCAGGCTTCGGGCGGCCGTCGTGGGCGGTCGGGGAGGCGCGGCTGCTGGAAGACACCCCGCGAGCCGAAAACCCCCGCGACCAGCGCGGCATCCCGGGGGCAACCCGAGACATATCGCCTCAGTATCGCCTCAGGGGGGGATTGGGAAAGGGGGCCTCTTGGGGGCCTCTTGCGACTCTTTTGGCCCGCCTCGGAACGCCCGTGGGCCCGCACAGGTCGCGCGCCGGGCCGCGGGGAGCCCCCTTTGGCGCACGCGCCCAGCCCCCAGGGATCTGGCGATTTGGGGCTCCGGGGCCTTTAGAGACTCTCGGGCCGGGCGAAAGGGCTGCATTTCACGAGGCTTGTCCGAATCATGACACGGTGTTCGACATCGTTCCTGTTGCTTCGTTGCTGTTATTGTACCTCTTGGTGCTCTTTTGTGGCCTTTTGGTGGCATCTTGGCCTGTCTGCAGGCCATAACCGGCCGCCTCGAGGCATCTTGGGTCAAGTTTGGGGGCCTTTTGGGGGGGCTTCCTGGGGGTTTGTTGGAGGCCTGTGAGGTTCTCTTGGGGGTAGACTAAAAACTCCTCGCGCTTGGACATTCCACCCGCCAGCCGCCAAAAGACCCCGAGGCTCCCCCCGCTAAGCTCGGGTCGGGCGAAAGGGGGGGATTGGGAAAGGGGGGGTTACGAAATCTGCTGCATGCAGCTGGTTTCGGCCTCACCGAGGGGCCCATTCCTCGATACATAGCCGCCTCCGGCGCCGGGAGGCGCCGGGAAAATCAGCTACGTGAGCTGATTCTCAAAGCCCCCCTTTGCTATCCCCCCCTTTCGCCCGACCCGAGATTTGGCGATTTGGGGCTCCGGGGCCTTTAGAGACTCCTCAGGGCTGCGGACCGTGTGGCTCAGGGGATTGGGCAAACGACCTGGGGACACGCCCAATCCCTGCCCAGAGGCACGGTGGCGGATGCGGGAAGAGAGAGGTCCATGGGTCTGGGAGGAGGGCAGGGAGGAAGGGGAGGAGGGAGGAAGAGGATAAGGAGGTGGAGGAGGAGGAGGTTGAGGGTGGATGGGGGCACCACCGGAGATCTTCCAGAGCACTATCGGAATGCCTCCTCCCCCTTCTCTCACCTTCCCTCCTTTTTCCCATTCGTCCTCTCTTTCTCATCTGCCGTCTACTCCACGTCTTCCTTATTATCATCCGCATCCTCTTCTTGCCGTATCGTTAACCCCGACTTCCTCCTCTTCGTCTCCTCGTCCTTGGTTTCATCGTCCTCCTGCTCCCCCTCTCCCTCGCCGTGCTCCTGCTCCTCCACCTCCCTGTCTCCCTTCGCCCTTATGTGATCTTCCTTCCTTCCCTCCCTCCCTCCCTTCTCCCCCTCCTGAATTTCTCAATTAAACTACTACGCCCCTCTCTCCCTGGATGATGTTTGAGCGGGGCCTTTTCTCATTAACATGCCATGTTTGACCGTGCAGGACTTCACATGCATTTGTTTGTTGGCTGGCCGTTCGAAACGTGTTGTTGGGTGTTGCTGTGGTTTGTTGATTGTTTGTTTGGCTGTCAGTGTGGGTTATACATGTTTGTAGGTTGTTTGTTTGGTTGCCTGTGTTCTGTTCATGGTGTTCTCTCTACAGCGCTGGCCTCACTCCAGGATTGTCGCTGTTGGTCTCGTCTGTCAGAACCGCGCTTCCGTCCCAGCGCGGGCCACAATTCTGATCCGACTCATTCCTCATCATCGTCGTTCCCTTTTTCTCCTTCGCCCTTCCCTGGTCCTTCATCTCACCCTGCTCCTCCTACTCCTGCCTCTGCTGCTGCCATTCCTCCTACTTCATCCTTCTGCTCCCTCTCCTCCTCCTCCTCCTCCTCCTCCTCCTCCTCCTCCTCCTCCTCCTCATTCTCCTCCTTCTCATCCTTCCACATCCTCGTCCTCACCCTACTTCTCGTCTTCCTGCTCATCCTCCTGTTCATCGGACACCTTTTCTGCCTCCTCCCCCTCCTCCTCCTCCTCCTCCTCCTCCTCCTCCTCCTCCTCCTCCTCTTCAAAAGTAAACAGCTCCCTTTTCTGCTGGCGCACGGCACGATAAGGGGCCATATTGGGAGATCCAGGTCCACCACGACATCTGTCGGCGGATATGGAACAGTCAGCACCATCGGGAGGCAGGGGCGAGAGGCATGAGCTGTCCGATATGGCGCAGGCGCACGTAGCTTGAGGGAGGGATGGGTAGGAGAGGGTTCAGTCAAGGCGCTGACATAAGGACCACTCTGGGCTCGGGATGGCCTCTGGTTTTCTAGCCGCTTCTCCGGTCTAGGTCGGGGGGCAAAACGTGTGGCCGCGGCTCGCCATGGCAGGGCATCGTTTCGATTCCTCCGATGCGATGTGATTCCACTTCGATGGTTTCCGATTCCGATGTGATTCGACTTGGGACTCCGATGCGGGTTCCGATTTCTCATTGGAGGCGTACTAGCTTGCCGATGTCCGTCGATTTGATTTTTCCCGACTCGGCTGCCGATTTCCGCCGAGCCGATTCATATCGATCGGCGAACCGACCTATCGATTCGACTCTGGGATCTCCTGCCATGGTCATGACAGCCTCTTCGTTCCTTTGTTAGTGTTCCTTACGGCAGCGCATCGACTGCAGGATGCCCGAAGTGGCGCAAGCGCGCCTAGCTTGTCTCTCCCTTCCCTCTCCCCTCTTCTCTGCCTCCTGTCCATTCCCACTCCCCGCCCCCCCCCTCCTCCCAGTCACTGCCCAAGGGGGAAGAAGATGATCAGGATCAGGATGGGGCCAATCCCCCATCCCCTGCCGCTTGCAGGTCGCTGTACGAATTGAAGCAAAAGGGAAAGAGCATCCGTGACCACATCCAGGGGTCTAGGGACTGGTCCAACCCGTACATTCTGGAGCAGGTTATCAAGGCGCCTGGAGGGGAGTACGGGAAGGGCGAGGAGGGAGAGAAAGGGAAGGACGGATGGATCTGAGGACACCGGCGATTCCGTTTTGGATATGGCCGCAACGCACTATACTCGGCGTGTCGTGGGGGGCGTGCTTTTTGGGCTTGCAGCTCCCACGAACAGGTTGTCATGGCGCGCTTTGAGGGCCAGCATTTGTCTTGATGGCGGTGTGGTGCCTTTTTTGGATCTGCCTGGGGCCATTGTGGTGGCCCGTGAGGCCGTCTAGGGCTATTTTGCCCATTTCCGCGATGCACGGTAGGTTATCCTGGGGCCTTTGCGGGGGGGCTCTTGCGTCCTTGAGCAGGGTATCGGCTTCTGTTGCGGCTGTGGAAAAGAATGAGGAGGAGGAGGAGGAAGGATGAGGGGAGAGGAGGTGAACGGAGTAAGGATAATATATATATATATATATATATTTCGAGGGAGGAGGTCGACGTCGATGCGCAGGACTCGGACGGCGATGACGATGACGATGACGATTGCGGTTACGACGATGACGATGCCCATGACGATATTGATGATGACGATGATGATGGCGATGATGATGATGATGATGATGATGATGATGATGATGATGATGATGATGATGATGATGATGATGATGATGATGATGATGATGATGATGATGATGATGACGATGATGACGATGATGATGATGATGATAAGGATGAGGATGAGGATGGTGATGATGATGATGATGAAGATGATGATGCTGATGATGATGATGATAAGGATGATGACGATGATGCTGATGACTATGATGCTGGTGATGGCGATGATGGTGGTGATGCGGCTGATGGTGTTGATGATGGTGATGGTTATGATTATGGTGGGATGCTGATGGGGGTTATGATGGTGATGGTGATGACGATGATACTGATGATGATGATGATGATGATGATGATGATGATGATGATGATGACGATGTTGATGATGATGATGATGATGAAGACGCTGCCGATGATGATGACGATGATGACGATGATGGTGATTATGATGATGTTGATGAGGATGATGCTGATGAGGATGCTGCTGATGATGTTTCAGCTGCTGCTTTCGATCATGATGCTGCTAGTGGCGATGATCATAATGATGCTGCTCTTGCTGCTGATGATAATAACTGTGATGGTGGTAGTTGTGATTATGGTGGTGATGCTTATGTCGATGCCGATGCTGATGCTGATTATGATGATGATGCTGATGCTGCTGATGATGGCGATTATGGCGAAGATCACGAGGTTCAGGTGGACGAGTAAGACGGAGAAGTTAGGAGGGAGGAGGAGGAGGAGGGAGAATGAGGAGGCAGAGGGGGGGGTGGAAGGAGGCGCGAGGAGGAAGTGGGGAGGAGGTAGGAGACAGGACTGAGGAGTGCGGAGGAGAAACACGCTTTTCCTTCTCCTCCTCCTTCCCACGTCCTCCTCCTCTTCTGTCCGGGGCAGTCGACGCTCCAGGAAACAGCACGCTCCGCAGACCGCGCCGATTATCATGTAATTCCGTTTGTTGGATGTTTTTTGTCGGATGTCACATTTGCAGACTTCATGATCACGTGGTCGCATTGAAACGTCAACGACTGCATGTTGTTGCTGATGGCCTGGCCATGTACGGTGTGGCGCAGCAGGCCACGTTTGTGGGCACGCCCGGGAGCCTCCTTTCCGTTGCGGTGCCATCTCATCGCCCTTTTGTCTTCATTCCCCCCTCCCGCTTCCCCTCTCCATCTCCTCCATCCCTGCTCCGTTTTTCCTACTCAGCAACGGCCATGACGACGACGTGGGGGCAGCGGGGACTGCCAGACCCGACCCGGCAAGGTGCTCGAGATTGACGAGTATGGCTCCAACTACCCCAAGGACGCGTGCTTCAGATTCTTCTGATCCCCCCTCCTCTTCGAGGGGTCGGGTGAGGAGGAGGAGGAGGAGGAGGAGGAGATTCTGGAGGAGTAGGAGGAGGAGGAGGAGGGAGAAGGACGACCAGGGTGAACTCAGGACGCACCGACGATGCTGAAACGCACCCTCCCGCCTCCATTCCCCTTCTCAGAAGGCCCCGCAATCCTTCCTCCTGGCTGCAACAGCGCCCCGACTGGAACACGCGCACCCGATGGGCCTGCAGTTCAGGCGGGAGTCCCAGTTTGACAATGAGTTGCTCCATTTCCCTTTGGCCCAATAGGAGTAAAGGAACCCGCACGGGTAGGATCATATCAGGAGGGGAAAAAACACACAGACACACTGATTCGTCGACTCCCAGAAAATATGGGAAAATATGGGAATTGGGCGGGAAGACAAAAACCCAGAAACTATGGGAAAATATGGGGGACATTTTTATTTGTGTGTATTTATTTGTGTGTCCCAGGGCCCCTTCATCATAACGTTCAGTGAGAGGCCCGGCGGGTGCCCCTGTGCCGAGAAGGAGCCAGCTCTCGTCTGCGAAATCGTTTGGCCACTTCCAGGATTCGTGTAACGCGTTGTTTCGGGGGAGCGTAAGACCCGGGTTTGCCAGGACTCGGGTTCGCCATCGTTTTTTGACGACCGCGCCTCGGATTTTGACGAGGAGGAGTTTCGTGGGACGTCTGCAGCGGGAGGCCTCGTCAAAATGCAGGCTCGGCCTCGTCATTTTTTGACGACCTCGTCGGGTATTTCCGAGTCCCCTGTACCCAGGTCTTACGTCCCCCTGATTGTTGCGGAAGTCTCCAGCGAGAGCCACATGATGATAAGGAGCCGCCCTCGCTCCGTGCACCTGGTGCATACTACACTGCTGGGCGCTAAAGATTTGGCCTCGCCTACGGGGGGTCGACCAGTTGCTTGTGTTCACGCTTCTGGCCGCCAGGTTTGAGGAAGTTCCAAGCGATTGCCCCATCTTGAAAAGGAGTCGTCCTCCATCACGACGGGTATGCTCAGCAATAAGCCGAGAGTCCAAGTTTGAAGTCCAGCTGCTACCGTGTTATACGAAAAAGGATGCGCGGCGCGAAGATGACAACGCGATGTTGAAAGCCAGCCGCCCTCCATCCCTCTTAGGGGCGCAATCGAAGGTACGCGGCGCTATGGCGAGAGCCCGGTTTTGAAAGGAACTTGCCCTCCAGCATTGTACTTCTTGGGGCGTCAAGTTTCATGGCCATAGCTTATGATGGCGTCTCTCATGATTCGCCAGGTCCGCCCTGCCGCCACTTGTGGTGGCGCGATAGGGATGAGTTGTCCACTTCGAAAGGGATGTGGATGATGCTGCTGCTGATGATGCGGATGACGATCATGATGACGCTGGTGGCATAATGATGGTGATGCTGATGTCGCTGAGGTTGATGCAGCCGCTCCCGACTGCGGTGATGACGAAGATGATGGTGATGAGGATGATGGTGGTGATGACAATGTTGATGATGACGATGGTGATGACGATATGGGGGCTACGACGAGGACTTTGATGTGGGGAGGACGGAAGGGAACGCGGACAAGGAGAAGGATGATGATTTGCGTAAGCCCAGGATTCATCAACGATGTCGAAATACACCTTCCCTCCAAGACTCCTCTTCACAGGCCCCTTACGAAGTTTCATTTCAGCTGAGGGAATGAACTGCCCCGTCGGGGACAACCGTGTGAGCATCTTGGCGCGTGCCAGAAAACCGTTCCCATGACTTCAGCTCCACGAGCCAGCCTGACTGTTACGTCTTGGCGCTCCTGACTCGTGCCAGGAAATATTCCCAGAACGTCAAACTGCAAATCAACGTAACTTTTGCGCTCTGGCAATCCTGAGCCCTTCCGATATATCATCTCTGGTATTTCAGCCATGAGACTCAGCGACGCTCCTGCATACTCTTACAACAGCTGTGCGCGGCGCTTCGGCGAGAGCCACATTTCAGGAAGGAGCCGCCTTTAACGCGTGAAACTCAGAACGGCGCTAAGGCGCGAACCACATTTTGAAAACGATTCGCCCTCAATCCGTGAAGCTCCATGGCAAATATTTGAAACGAATTTGCGTTGTCCTACGGCGAGAGCCACATTTTGAACACGAGCCGCCCTCAATCCGTCAAACTCTTGCACTTTTCAAAAAAATAATGCGCGGCGCGAAGGCGATGGCCCCTTTCTGAAAACGGCGCGCCTTCAATCCGTGAAACTTTTGCAAATTGTTTGAAACAATGTGCCCGACGCCCAGGCGAGAGCCTCATTTTGAAAACGACCCGCATTCAATCCGTGAAGCTCGTCCAAGAGTGTTCGCGGCGCTAAGGCGAGATCCACATTTTGAAAGCCACCCGCCCTCAATCCGTGAAGCTCTTGCAAATTTGTGGCATGGAAGATTGCGGCGCTGAGGCGAGAACCGCGTGTTGAAAACAACCCGCCCCCCAGCTGTGACATTGTTGTCAGTTTTCCGGCATAGGGGTCAAACGTGGTGAGGAAGTCTCGGGCGAAACGCCCGGCCCGCCCTTTCGACTGGCTTCGGGGCGCGACAGAGAAGAGTTATATGAAAGGAGCAGGACTTAAGGAGCTGGAGCAGTTTTAGCAATAGGAGCATGATGAACTTAGGTCAGATAGTGAGGGATAATCAAGAGGGCTGTAGAAAGAGGATGAGCAAGACGACAGGAGGGAGAGGATGATCTGCGCACGTACAAAGACGACGAGGACGACTCTGCGGAGAACGGCTAATCAACGCGAACAGAAACGAGGAAAGATGAGGAGGAGACGGAGGAGGAACAGCAGGAGGAGCAGAAGGGCCCCCGTGGGTGTGGGGGGCGCTTCCCACATTCCGCGGAAGGGGGGGCCTGCCCGAGCACGCCGAGGCCATTGGCGGCGTGCGTCATCCCAGAGAAGGTGATCATCCGGGAGAGGGAGATCATCCACCAGCCAGACGTCCACAACATCGGCTAGTAGATTGACCCACCTTCGTGGAGACTGCCGGGAATTATGCCGAGACTATATACGCGCATAGAGGAATACAGGCAGATGCAGCTCCCACGGGAATGGGTAACCTCATCCAAAGCGGCCTACAACCACACATCAACGACATCATGATCATCGCCACGACCGCATTCTTCATGGCGTCCACTACAGGACGAGACGAGCTGCGTAACATGCAGCCCGAGGAAGAAGTACGCAACGTGCAGCCCGAGGAAGAGCTGCGCAACAGGCAACCCAAGTACGACACCAAGTGCTCCACCAAAGCCGGGTCCAGGTACGACGCGACCGAGCAGACCGAAGAGGTTATTCAGCACGTCGTCGTGGAGGTACCGGTGGATGACGGCTGCGCTGCCTACGACGAGTACGACTGCGACCGCGCCGCCTACGTCGAACAGTACTGCGACATGGTTTTCGGTAGCGACCTGTATGCCTATGGCCCCCAGGACTACGGCGGACCGCAGGGCTACGACAACCGCAGGGCTACGACAACCGCAGGGAACATCTACTACGTGGCAGCCGATGATTCCGACTCGAACATCGGGGCTCACGCAAAGAACGTGCCCTCTTCGCTGCTACTGCCACCATCAGATCTTTTCGGGCCAGTCGACGACCTTCGGGACCACGAGCTGATTTACGAGGGCCACGCGCACAGCTACGACTGCCACCAGAAGAGCTTCAAGTCCCACGTGCCGAGCCTCGAGACTCGCCTGCAGAGCCACGAGAGTCACAAGCTGAGAGGACCGCGAGCTGAGCTGCGAGAAGCAGGTCTACGACGGCCACTTGGGCCACTACCTGAGCCAGGACGGAAACGACCAGAGCGACTACTGCCACCAGCGGGGCGACAAGGGCCACCAGGCGACTTTCGGGGACCACAGGCTGAATTACGCGGACCACGCGCACAGCGACGAGTCACCAGCCGAGCTCGCGGGCCCACCTGCCGGGCTACGAGAACCACCAGCATTACCACGAAAGCTACAAGCTGTGCGACGAGGACCACAAGCTTAGCTATGAGGACCACAGGCGCAGTTTCGGGAGCAACCGGGAGTACTACAGGACCGACCTGCCGCGCTACGAGAGCCACCTGCCGAGCCGCGAGGGCCACGAGCTGAATAACGAGGACCGCAAGCGGAGCCACGAAAACCACAACCAGGACTGCAATAACTACCAGCTGAACCACGAGGACCGCCTGATGCGCCACGGGGGCCACCAGCTGAGCTACCGGAGGCACGAGTTGTGCGACGAGGGCCACCGGCACAGCTACGAGAGTTGCGAGGACCACCTACTGAGCTTCCAGGACCACAGCCATTGCTACGCGGACTACAGGATATTTAACCTACCTGACCCCCCTGCGGAGCGACTCGGGCGACGAGCTGAACGGCAAGAACCAGAAGCATACATCTCTCTCTCTCTCTCTCTCTCCGAGATCCACCAGCTGAATTATCAGGGCTACCGGCAGAGCTACCAGGGCCGCTACCTGAGCTACACGGGCCACAAGCATAACCACGAAAGCCCCCTGCAGAGCTACTAGGGCGACGGTCCGAGCTGCGAGGACCACCTGTTCAGCAAGCACAACCACCAGCTGAGCTACGAGGACCACGTGCTGAGTCAATGGCACCACGCGCTGAGCTACCAGGCCACAGGCAGGGCTTCGACCACCAAAGGCACGGCTCCAAGGACCGCTAGCTGAACTACGAGAGCTACGCGGGCCACCTGCTGAGCTACCAGTGGCATAACCTGATCTACGCGCACTACAGGAGTGTCCACAAGGGTCTTTTGCAGAACTACTAGGGCGACGAGCCAGACTACAAGGCTCAGGTGCATAACTCCGAGTGCCACCAGCTCGGCTACAAGGGCCACCTGCGGAGCTATGCGGGCCATGCGCAAAACTCAGTTCAATCATCGCGAGCAGAACTAGCCGGATTACAAGAGTAAGCCGAAGCACCTGCACATGTAGGACTAAGGGTGTTGGTCCGGGTAATCGAACTCAAGGGCCAGAGGTGCCACCAAGGCTTCGAGGGCATTTGGGCGCGTGGAATACGGCCACAAAGCGCTGGGCATTCAAATCGGGATCGGCGGCCATCCGCGGAAAGAGTACCAGCGTCGGGCCCATCGACATGTACCACAAGGGGCGGCCCGCGGTCAAGTGCCACGACAAGGCTCGAGTCTACCAGTTTCACGACCCAGTGAAGTATAACTGCGCGTTCGAGCGCATATGCGACCTTGCAGCCTTTGAAGGCCAGCCCGGGTTTACCCCATTTTTGCCATCAGCATCGAAGGCTTGTTCGACGTAGTTTCGCGCGCAGATGTCGCAATAGTTACGGTGGAACAGACCCACTGGGGCCGCTGATGATGGTTTGCCAGCGAACGTGACCGATTGTCTGGGTCGTACGACGTCTACAGCGCTACGGACAAGGTGCGCTGTGTACAATGTTACGCGCAAGGTACGCTGCCATCGATTACGAACTATTACATCGTGGTCATGTGAGCGGCCCCGCCGCTGACATCTCCCGTTCTCCTTCTCTTTGACGAGCGCCGGGGTGTAGCATGGACATGGCGGCCTCCCTCCTCTTCCCCCATCTGAGACGTAAGCCGGGTCCCTCGGAAGTCCGCGGGGTCCTCGCGCTGATCAGCCGGTCGCGGCGCGCCGCTAGGCGCGCGGGGCGTCCGCGCGGACTTGGTGACAGCAGAGGCTCTTACTGCTGCTGCTGCAGGATAGACAGAGAGAGAGAGAGGGAGGGAGGAGGAGGAGGAGGAGGAGGAGAGGGAGGCGGAGGAGGAAGAGGAGGAGGGGGAGGAGGAAAAACAACGACAATAAGAACACACATTACGAATGAGAAGATCAATCGGCACTCATACATAAAAGGAAGCACATCTAATAATCATGATACTAGTGTCAATGCGAATACGAGCAATGAGACGGATACTAGACATGGTCATGTTACGATTAAATATGCTAGTAACACGAATTATATCTAATATTACTAAATGGTAATAAAGTGAGAATATTACTAAGTAGAAGAAACAGAGGAGGAAGAGGAGGAGGAGGAGGAAAGGGAATCTTATCATAATGAGGACTATGTAGGTACTGTTGGCGACAGGGGTGGGTGGGAAACTTCGGACGAGGAGCGGGGTGAGGCCCAAGTAGCAGGGGCGAGGATGAGGAGCCGCAGCACAGTGAAGACGAACAGGACCAATACCAGGAGCACGATGAAGAGAAGGGCGAAAAGGAGCGCGCAGTGGTGGCTGAGCAGGAGCGTGAGAAGGAGCAGGAGGACGAGGAGGAGGAGGAAAAGGAGGAGGAGGAGGAGGAGGAGGACGCGGAGGAGGAGGAGGAAGCGGAGGAACACGGGCCAAGGACGGTAAGGAGGTGGAAAAGGAGGTGGAGGAGGAGGGGGGGTGGATGAGGGTGCCCTGGAAGACCAGCAGAAAGCTCAGGCGGAGTGGCGGGAGGATGGCGGCGCTGCCCGAAGGACGTGTTCGACCCCGCGAAGGTCGCGGAGCACCCTTCGGACCGCGGGCGCCTGCCGATCCCTCGCTCGCCGCCGTCCTCCCGCATCCCCTCCGCCGAACTCCTCCTTTTCCCCTTCTCTCTCCTCGTCCCACACCTTCTCCTCCTCTTCCTTCCTTCTTCTCATGTCATCCTCCTCCTCCTCCTGCTCGGCACTTGTCCTTCACGTCTCGCTTCCGCCATGGCGCTCTTCAGCGTGCGCCCCCTCTGCACCCTGCTCCCAATCACCCCCCCCACAAATCTCTTGCTCCCCTACTCCATTTTCCTGCCACGCCTGTCCTGCTTCTCTTCATTGTCCATCGTCGTCATATCCCTCTTCCATCTCCTCCCTTCTCCCCCCGTTTCCTCCTCGCGTCTGGCCGCACTTCGCTCCTCGCTCATCGCTTCCCTGCTTCTTTCTCCCCGCTCAATTCTTCCTCGCCCTCCCTCTTCCTTCCTCTCTCATCGCGTATTTCTGGCTCCTCCCTCCTTCTGCTCCTCCTGCTCCTCCTCCTCCTCCTCCCGTTCCTTCTGCGCTCCCTCACTCTTTCGCCTCCTTTTTCTTCTCTTCCTCTTTCGCCTCCTCCTGCGGGCGATCCTCCTCTTCCTCTTTCGCCTCCTTTTTCTTCTTCTGAGGGTCCCCCCCCCGCTCCTCTTCCACACTCCCCCTCGAGAGGGGAGAACGGGCATCGTGGAAGGATTGCCTCCTCCTCCTTCGTCTCCTCTTCCCGTCGCGATCCTGCCGGGTGCTCCCGCAGGACTACTACAACGCAAAGGAGTGCGAGCGCCCGCCTTTGCCCAAGAGGCCCAGGAGCTCGGGGGCCAAAGAGGAGGAGGAGGAGGGACGGACCTGATAGCACCATACTGCGGATTCTGATCGTGCTGTTGCTAAGTAAGCCGATGTTGATGTTGATGCTGTGGCTGATAGCGTTGTTGACGATGCTGACGATGTTGGCGACGATGGCGATGACGATGACGATGACGATCATGATGCTGATGATGATGATGATGATGCTGATGATGATCATGATGCTGATGATGATGATGATGATGATGATGATGAGGATGATGAGGATGATGGTGATAATGATTATGATGCTGGTGCTGATGCTTGTGCTGCTTGTGTTGATGATGATTTGGATGATGCTGATATTGTTGATGATGCTGATGCTGGTGATGATGATGATGATGGTGACGATGCTGATGATGTTGATCACGATGATGGCGACGATGATGCTGATGCTGAGGTTGATGTTGTTGATGATACTGATTGTAGTGATGATGATGACTCTGAGGTTCGACGATGCTGACGAGGGAACTGCTGATGTTTATGATGATGCTGATGCTGAGGATTGTGATGACGATGCCGATAAGAATCGTGCTACATAACAATACGACCATCATTGCGACGACAATGGCCACGGTAACAATGACAATAATGATGACGATGCTGCTGCTGCTGATGACTTACGGTGATGATGGTGCTGTGGCGCGCGCGCGTGCAAGGTTGCACAATGAGCACGTGCCATTTGCGCCGCCCTCGGTCCCATGATGCTGCGCCGCGGACGAATAAACACGCACGGACCGCGGCAACATGCCATAATGCGAAGTGATTGCAT